TCTCTCCCTCTCTCTCTCTCTCTCTCTCTCTCTCTCTCCCTCTCTCTCTCTCTCTCCCTCTCTCTCCCGCCTCCCCCGCGCTCTGTCTTCCCGCGGCTTAGTCGATATGTTGGATTTCGACACGCGCGCGCGGCTAGATAATGCAAATGTTTCTATAAATAGGGGCAATAGTGCTGACAGTAGCAGTCTCCCAAAGTGCGATAGCTCGGCGGGATTCTCGCACACGCGCGCCAGCGCTTCATCATAGCGATAGTACCCGAGCAGCATATAAACACTTGAGCTGCAAAGCAAACACATCATAGATATGTGCTATAGGAGGCGCAAATAAAGGACTTGTCCGCACAAAGCGCAAACACGTCTTGAACAAACAGCACAAAAGCCTGCCGAGGGCTCGACGGCTCGCGCCGCGAGAGGCCTTTTGTGTCTCGGACAACAAAAGCACGTGTGCGGCGTCAGTGCACGTCAAACGAGAAAAAAGGCGTCAGTGCACGTCAAACGAGATCATTCGATGACAAGCATTGCTGTGGCAGCTCATTTCATATTAAGTACAGTGGTGCCTTGACTTTGTTGCGGGACTAAGCTCATGTCAATTTTCCCTATGCCCTCTCCTAAAACAAAACAATTGGCCAATCTTCAGCTCAAACTCACTTCTCAGCAGAACAAATAGTTAACATTCCTTCCGAAAGAGGCCTCAAGCCATTTGTGACGCCGCTCTCTGTTGGACTGCCAAGCAAAACATGTGACGAGGAGAATTGTATCTTGTGCTTTTTAAAGCATTAAAAAGTGAGCTAGCATTGTGCTAAGGCTAACACAATGCGGAGCGCATATCTAACCCTACAAACAATGCAGCAACACATTTTCGAATAATTAGACAGACAGACTTGGAATGTTTTGGGGAGGCTGAAACGGATTATTGACATTGCCATTCAGTTCAACATGGAAAGATGGTTTGACTTGTATTTAAAGGTACCGCTGTATATTTATCAAGTGTTTTTCATAGACCTTTAGACTTTAAAACGGCATTGGCATGAAAGAACTCTCTTCAGGGTCATTCCGAACAAATCTCATGCTGTCTAGACACTTGAGCAAAGTGCAGTAAGATGGCGAGGAAGAGGACAGCAACTTTTGTCTCCTCCTCCTCCTCGTGTTCCTGCTCACCTTCCAGCTCGTGATGGATGACATCCGACAGGTTGGGCTCGTCACCCCACCAGAAAATCCACAGCTCCTTGGCGTCTGGCTTGATCTTGCGGCGCCACACGCACAGCAGGTTGGCCTGCACGCAGCGCATGAAGCTGCGCAGGACCGGGTCGTCCTGTGCGGGCGCCGAGATCACCGGACCGTATTCGCCACTGCCACGGAAGTTGTAGCAGCGCCATTTGATGCCCGTCAAATCCGCCTGATGGGGAGAGAGGGAGAAATGAGGATGAAGTCATCAATTCAGTGCCAGCGCTTATCAATCAGTAGCGACTGCGGCGGCATTTGTCTTTTATGAGGTTTGAGCAGCAGGAAGTGTTTTCTTGCGTGAAATGAATTGCCTTTTCCAGATCAACATTGCCGGAAACTCACTCACTTTGTCAAGCGTGCATATCCTGGAAATTTTGATGTGCAGTATTTTTGGGGTCCCTATCACAATCAAACATAAGGCCATGCCTATCAATGCCACACACATTCAACATCACAGATACAGAAGTGGAGAACATGAGGATGGTGACACTATAAATATAAATATAATTTTTTTTTTTTTGCTCCTTGGAGGATTTCCATTAATTGTGGAGTGGTTTCAAAGCCGATACACATACTGTGGGTGTTCCTTTCCAAGCACGTGGTTGGGATTGATTTTTCTTCATCTCTGGGAAACTGGCTTGTTTTTTTTTATTGCCTTTAGTTAGTTACTTGGTTAGTTAGTTCGAGAAGATGCAGGAGGTCTATGATGTGAGCAATTTACTAAAATCGTTCACTTGCCGGAGGTCTTTTGTCTTCCAGTGCCATTCGAGTGTGTATTTATTTTCCTACACGCAGGATGATATAAAGCAAGCACTAAGCATGAATCGATAATGTGAGTGCGGCGAGGCTTTTACACTGCAATAGCACTATTGTGTTTCACATGGAGGGGGGGGGGGAGAAAAAAAAAACATCCAATGCGATCAATAACTCCTCGGAGGACGTCCAATTACGGTTGCCGACTTCCTGTTCAAATTCACTTTTGCACGCAACGTCTTGCTGTAAAGTGACAAAGAAGCACTGAGCTCTCTGGACCGGACGCAAGACGCAGCTTGTCCATATTATGACATAAGGCAGACGGTGCATAAGAAGATAGTCAAAGATTACAATCATTCCAAGCAACATCATGTGTATGTGTGTGTGTGCGTGCGCATGTGTGTTTGGAATGTTTCATGAAAAATGTTATTTTTCTGTGCTCATTTAAGTGTGTTCAATTCCGACTCCCGCTACCTGGAACACTTTTCCAGAACGTAAATGGTGAGAGAAGATAACATGTCTC